TTTTTTTCCAATTCAAGCTACCTAACCTTTCTTTACTGAGTTTTTAATCTGTAAAGTGGCAAAATACTAGAAACTACTATTTAGTACAAATAAAGTACTCTGCCCAGGGACTGTGAGATGCAGTTGCAAAGCACAGTTTCTAAAGCTGGACTCCTGGGTTAAAACCCAGCTCTACCATTTATGCGCTATGTGATCCAGGAAAAACAAGTTAGCATCTCTGTGTCTTAGTATCTCATCCCCAAATTGGGCTATAGTAGTACTATTGTGGAGATTAAATGAGTTCATATCTGCATAGCGATGTAAACAGAGCTGGCATATAGTAAGAGCTGTATAAATACTTGCCATTATTACTTCCTGGAAAAAAGCTTCAAATATTGTTTGTAAGGACATGGAAATAAAAATTAAAACTTCCTAACAAATTTATTTTCTGTTTGGTTCTATTAAGCATAGAAACACCAAACCTCAAGGGTAATGGCATAGTGTTGGGATATCCCTTGCTTCCTAGTAAGCTGGCAATGCCTTTCACATAATATTCTCTTTCTTTATAGGTTACGTATTGGTGCAGTTTAGACCAAATATTAAGTTTACTTAGTTTTCTGATTCACTTAAACCTACTGCTATTTAGTTAATCTCTGCACCCAATTTTTTTTTCTCTCTGAATGTAAAAGGCAATGATTTTTTAAAGCTTGCATAACAGAAAGGATTTACACATATTGGGAGGATGATAAATGCGCCAAACATTTATTCAGGACAATTTCTGGTTCTGTATCTCCTCCCCTTTTCCCACAGCTTCCATTTTAATGTTTCTGCCATTCGTTTATTCATTCAGTATTTACTGAGCAGACTTGTCGGGCACCGTGATAAGTGGTGGAAAATAATGATTCTGACACTTGGATGGTGTTTTACAACTTACAGATCATTTTCACATATATTAAATTCATTCAGTCCTCAGAGGCACTTACTTCATTTATCTCTAGCTATTCCTTCCCTTTTAGCTTTATATTTCTCTTAATGTTCCTTGTTCCTTCCCTCAAATCACTGGTGTATAGAGTATTTTCTAAGTGCTTTGTGGGGTGGTGTGGGAGTGGGAAAAGCTGGTTGGAAGAGCAGGTGGTAGAGAGGAATGAGATGAGAATTTAGGCCAGAGATGCTTCCAATATAGACATCAGCATCAAAGCTCCAGGTGCTTCTGGGTATATTATCTCTTACTTAGGAAAGTGCAGTCACCTAAAAAGGAAAAATGGCCATCAGGGAGTCCTTCCTTCTCAATCAGTGGATTGAGTCTAAACATAGGGGCAATGGTTGCCCAAGTCCTCCTGGATTCCCTTCCAATTAGGCATAGTTGACATCCTGGACATGCTAAAGACCTATGACTTGCTTTCCTCTAAATGTACCCAAGCCCACAAGTGCCAGTACCAAAGCTCAATTATATTTAATTTTAAATTTTGTGATACCAACCACTGGGCAAGAAACAGAACACACAAAATCAACCAGAAACTTATTCCTTTGTTCTCAAATCACAGCTTCATTCATTATTGTCTGCCATGCGTGGTAAGTCTGGCTTCTATAAGGAAACACCAGTGGCTTTTCTGAGTAGAGGAGCTTATGATGGACGAACATCATCTCAACAGGCAGAGAATGATGGATTTCTGCTCTTGTGTGTAAACACACAGTACCTCTCACATGTCAGTCTCTACTCAAGTAATTACTTCAAGGGTACATTAGATGCTCGCAGGATGAAAACAGATGACATAGTGCATAAACTTGTGCTGTGAGACAACATACACACATTCCCAACCCAGGTTCCTTTGACTTGCTTGATGTCTGTCTAGAATGCTGCTCTTCCAGAATGTACCATCTGTCTCTTATTCAGTTCCAATGTCACTTCATGGAGAGTCTTTCTCTAAGCAGTCTATATCAAGTGGTATCTTCACACTTATCATTTTATGCCATTTCATGACCTTTTTCTTGGTGTGTGTGTGTGTGTGTACTATACACTCTAAGAAGGCAGTGATTGTGATCATTTTTAACATACTTCCTGGAATACAACAGCAAATCTTGAATAAATATGGATGGCATATATGAATGAGAAATAGATATTTATCAAAGGACTATAAAATGCCAGCACTGTTCTAGGCACTGAGGATATAATAATGAGTGAAGCAGGGGCTGGAGAGATGGCTCAGTGGTTAAGAACACTGACTGTTCTTGCAGAAGACCCTGGTTCAAATGCCAGCACCCACATGGTGGCTAACAACTGTCCGTAACTCCAGTCCCAGGGGATCCGACAGCCTCTTCTGTCCTCCACCAGCACTGCACAACACGGGCGCACTTACCTACATGCAGGCAATACACACATACACATAAAATAAAAATAAATAAATAAAACTTTTTTTAAAAGCCAGGCATGGGGCTGGAGAGGAGGCTCAATGGTCATAAAAATAATAAATAAAATATTTTAAAAAATGAGCAAAGCAGACAAAAATCTCAGAACTCATTGGGTTTTATATTTAGGGAAAGTGACTTCAGCAAATAATTCAGGAACAGGGAAACCATTGGCATGGAGCTGTGCTTTGTCAAATAGGGTGATCAAGAAAGGGAACCTGGAGGAGAGAAGGGCAGGTGTGCGGGGGAGGCTGAGTCATTTAGGCAAAGAGAAAAAGAAGGACTATCTTATTCCTTGAGAAGACTGAGTAGAGCTGTGAGTAAAATAGCGAAGCGTGCAGTCTTTCAGGTTATTGCAAAGACTGGTTTTGCTCCTGTGTGAGATGGGATGCCACTGTAGGGCTCTGAGCAGATTGACACATCTGATGTAGGTTCTAACTGGATCCTCCTTTGGGTTCTAGTAATGAAAGGAGACCACAGTGGAAATAGTTAGGAGACCCATGCAATAATCCAGGCAAGAGATGATGGTGGCTTTGTCTACAGAAGTGACAGGGAGATGGTAAAATCCCTAACCGGAAGGACCTTGTAGGCAGAGCTGACAGGATTTGCTGAAACAATGAACAAAAGTAATGACTTTTTTAAAAAAGTGTTGAATTGAAATAAAAGGTTTTTCTTGTCTTTGCGGAAAAGACCGGGTTTTGTCAGGGCTGAGACACTGATACAACAAGTTAAGTACTGGAACTTGGAACTCCTGTCATCTATTTATCCCAAAGAACAGTACAAAAAAAAGTAATAAAATACATTAGTACCAAAAATCTGTGCTTGCAATTAAGTAGGCTGGTCTGGGGCCTGATCTTATTTCAGCACACTGACATGAGTGCAGTAATTGTTCAGCAGACATAAACATTTCAAAATGAAAATGACACTTCTCCGTGAGGAGACTATAAAGCTCATTAGATAGTTACACAAAGGGTAAACATCATTATCAAGAACAAAGATCTTTCCTGATTTATCCTGATTGACAGCCTGTCCTTTAAACCGATCTGATAACTGCTCAGATCCTTCACCCTTTGCCTCTTGGCTGCTCTGAAGGAGCCTTGGAGATTCTTCAGCCTTGAATTCTTCACAGCCCAGTAAATAGCAGATGCATAACAAGCATTTATTAGATTTCTGATATCTTATACCTTCCCCTATTCTTGGTCTTCTTGATTCATTGACTTACAAAGTCAACGATCAAATATGAAATTTCAGATGTGTACTGAGTGCAAAGACAGAACATTCGCAGAGAGCTGTGTGTTCCGCTCATCTCGGGGGAAGGGGATGGGAGGAGAAGGGGAGGCTTCCCAGAAGAGGCAGAGTTCTGTGGGCTGTAATTTGCGGGTGACCGCGAATGTGCAGGGCGGAGGAGGCCTTCGTGACCTGGATTGGATTTTAAAAACCTTCAAACTTACACTCTTCTCTGGAGGAGAGGGAACTTGTGAAGAACTGAAGACAAAGACTTGGGAAGCCAGGGTGCCTGGACCTTTGAATAACTATGCAGGATCAGAAAGTCAATTTTCTGTTTGTGTGTATGAAAGTTTCAAAGAATAAACAAAATTAAAAATTGCATCAGATTGGAGTTTTCTGGCACTAGTTACAGATGGCTGAGAGGAACCCGTGGCTTCACATCCCCCTTTCGGAGGCCCTTCTCCAGGTCGCCCTCTTCGGCATGCACTCTGAGCCACTGTTTCTGCCCACCCAGCTTCCTCAGTCATTCCCGCTCACTGCATCCTACTTTGAGGTCCACTGACCAATGCGCTTATAAACCCAAAAAGTAAACTCCCAGCGTCCTAGGGCAGTATACTGAACTTTGCTTGCGGTTTCTAGGGATTCTTAGTCTATATGGCAGCCATATGACCAACCCTTGTCTGCTCGGGGGCTGGGACAACCTCTGTGTCCCTCCAGGGTTTTGGGTTCTGGCCAGAAATATCTTCTATGTTAGCGCCATCGCTCTGCAGTTTGCATAGGTCAGTTCTGGAGCGCGCGGGTCGCACACGCTTTTCAGCTTTGCGGGGCGGGTACGCCAGAAAGTTTATGCTCTTGCTGACTACAGCCATCCTGGGGCGACTGCGGAAGAGGGAGGTCAGCTGGGAGGGAACAGGGTTCGAGACAGTCGGGTCGCCCCCGAGCGCGATCGGGGTGGAGCCAGCCTCGGGAGCCGCGTCAGCGTTTCACAAGCAAATCCACCGCGCCGCTCCTCCCCCGCCTGGCCGAGGCTCCTCGGCTCAGCCGCCCACGCCTCCTGCGCCGCCGCGCCCTTGCAGCCGGCGGTACTTTAGCGGCGCGCGGGCTGCGACCCGCCACTCGCCTGGAGTGCGCGGGCGAGGCGGGCGGAGCGCACCGGGCTCTGGGGCCGCACCGGCTCGCAGCGCCGGGCTCCGAAAAGCGGCTGCAGCTCCTGATCGCAGCCGCGCTCCCTGTGCCTGGTCCAACCCAGACTCCTCCGGGTCATGGCTCTGGCGGACAGTACTCGAGGATTACCCAATGGGGGCGGCGGCGGGGGCGGCAGCGGCTCGTCGTCGTCCTCTGCCGAGCCGCCGCTCTTCCCCGACATCGTGGAGCTGAACGTGGGCGGCCAGGTGTATGTGACCCGGCGCTGCACCGTGGTGTCGGTGCCCGACTCACTGCTCTGGCGGATGTTCACGCAGCAGCAGCCGCAGGAGCTGGCCCGGGACAGCAAAGGCCGCTTCTTTCTGGACCGGGATGGCTTCCTCTTCCGCTACATCCTGGATTACCTGCGGGACTTGCAGCTCGTGCTGCCCGATTACTTCCCGGAGCGCAGCCGGCTGCAGCGCGAGGCCGAGTACTTCGAGCTGCCGGAGCTGGTGCGTCGCCTCGGGGCTCCCCAGCAGCCTGGCCCCGGGCCGCCGCCGCCGCACTCCCGGCGCGGGGTGCACAAGGAGGGCTCGCTGGGTGACGAGCTGCTGCCGCTGGGCTACGGCGAGCCCGAGCCCCAGGAGGGCGCCTCGGCTGGGGCGCCGTCGCCCACGCTGGAGCTGGCTAGCCGGAGCCCGTCTGGGGGCGCGACGGGTCCCCTGCTCACGCCGTCCCAGTCGCTAGACGGCAGCCGGCGGTCCGGCTACATCACCATCGGCTACCGCGGCTCCTACACCATCGGGCGTGATGCCCAGGCGGACGCCAAGTTCCGGCGGGTGGCGCGCATCACCGTGTGCGGCAAGACGTCGCTGGCCAAGGAGGTGTTTGGGGACACCCTGAACGAGAGCCGGGACCCCGACCGGCCTCCGGAGCGCTACACCTCGCGCTATTACCTCAAGTTCAACTTCCTGGAGCAGGCCTTCGATAAGCTGTCCGAGTCCGGCTTCCACATGGTGGCGTGCAGCTCCACTGGCACCTGCGCCTTTGCTAGCAGCACCGACCAGAGCGAGGACAAGATCTGGACCAGCTACACCGAGTACGTCTTCTGCAGGGAGTGAGCCTCCCAGCCCCCTCGCCACTCCTGCGCCCACTTCCCTTCTCCATATGGGGGACAAGATCGTAGATCCCCCTCCCCCCGGTCCCCTCTACCTGGTTCCTTCTACCGCTTCCAGTAGCTCGGTCAGACCCCTACTTGAGAATCTGAAGCCACATCTTCGTCTTCTTGGGACCCCGCTAACCGAGAGTGCTCAGATGTAGCCCTTCACCTATGCTTCCTTTACTACCCTTCTCCCAGATTGTACTTCCCTGGGGATCTAGTGGGGCAGTGCGGTGTAAAGTCACCAAGTACCTGGGACTGACTGAATTGTTTAGAACCTAATTGGACCATGTTCAGTGTGCAGAAGAGTCCTCGAAATCTTCTTAAACCGTTTGACTCATCCGTGGTTTCAGAGATTAGAACTGATAGCGCTGTGTGGGCATAGTGTTTTAAAAGATCATTCAGAGTTGATCCTCATTAGAAAAACAATTTTAGAAGACCGAACGGAAGACTGTGATGCTGGAATTAAGACACTTTGGAGGCAGTTCAGTGACTGTAAATAAAGTTTTCAAAAATTACAGGTAGAAGTAGACTCTAGTGCTGGTAACGGGGAAGGATCCCGTCTTTCCCACACAATAAGACCTTCGCAGGACCTTAAATTTGTAGAGAGTAATCCTCCTGCCTGCGGAGGCGCCCTTTCTCCTCAACTCTTAGCCTGAGCTCCAGGCTCTGTTGGTTGATAAAGAAGCACTTCTAAGCAAGGGAAGGGAGCTGTCTCTTAGAAGGCAAGGCTGTCCAGACTCCCTGTGCTGCTGAAAGACACCTGGCACTGTCTAAAGGGATCTGGGTAGTAATGCACGTCGTGGGTAGTAGGTAGGATCTTAAGGCCCTTTGGTCTAAGACTGGTGGGAGGACTGGGAAGGGAAGAAAAAGGGGAAGGGTGGGAAGGGAGGAGCGGACATACTCATTTATTATTTGAAAGTTGGAAGTTTGTATCATACGTTTGAGTACATGCACATTTTAAAAATAGCAAACAGCAAACATAAACTTGGATTTTATCAAGATTAGTCATAGACCTACATTTAGCTGGCAGTTTATTGAGTCCTAAACTTATAAGTTGCTAATAACTTGTATAACTTAACCAAAGAGTTACCTAGTAGGGTTTTAGTTACTAGAACTTCAATTTTCTTGTTAATTATAATTCCTGATTTTAGAATCTATTTACTTGAGCAAAGTAAGTGTGATTTTGGTTTACTTAGACTTAAGATCTGTTATTTAAAAAAAAAAAAAAAAAAGTCCAGCAAATGTAGACTGCTGGCAGGTCTGAAAATCTGAGCAGCACTTCTTTCTGCATTCGTCTGAAGTTAAAGTGGAATCTTTTCCAGTGACAGAGTTGAAGATAATGTAAGCACCAAGAACTGCCCATCTGTAGATAGCTGCAAAGTGCAATGTTTTTAAATGAAGCTAAAGAAACGCTTCAGTGTGAGCTGAGCAATAAAATGGTGTTTTAGGTAAATGCAACAGAAACAGACCTGGTTGCCTTATGCCTTTACTCTCATATGGAATAAATTCCCAGTGTATATCCTATGTGCACCATAAATGAAGGGAAATGAGTCCTTCTCATACTTCCTGAGGAGAGGCATCCTTTGGATAATCTGTGAGGATGGAGAAGCCTTGTATTTTTTGTTTTAGCATCTTTCTCTGAAATACGTTTTTAAAGATTTTGTAAGAGTCGTTTTCAGTGTTTAAATTAGCGCTATTTTCCTTTTTAAAAAAGAATCTTGTACTGTATCTTACTGTGTCCATGACAGATGTTACAAATTTGGACAGTTTTATTCTTAGACTCATGTGATCCAGTCTGTATATACCATATATAAACATTTTACACGAATCATTTAGTTTTTTAATTCATCTACTAGCACTATAAATTTTCCTACATTTACCCCTGGTAACTTGCATTGGATGGTGTATATACTAAAGCAACATGTTTTGATGAGTTTCTTATATTCTTGTCTATGAACCTGGGTCAGGAAAACACAGAACTGTAAAGCTGAGTTTGCTCCATACATTTTTGCTTGTATTAGTTGTATACCAATCATAAGTCAACTGTCTACTTAAAAACAAGGTACCTGTATTTTTAATCCACTAATGCTTTCATTTTAATTGGGAAAGAGATTTGAGTTCTTTTGTTAGAGCTATACTTTTTAAAGCAAAGTTAGCTTTGTGTTCAAGGGCTGCAGTTTTAAGTGAAAGGGAAGCAGGAAGTTGTGTTTGCTTTTATGTTGAAATGGTTTTTAGACGAGGCAATATATTAGAACTTAACCTTTGTCTCAACCTGAAATGATTTAGAACTGTCATTCTCTGGCCAAGAGTGCCACAGATTTCTCTATCCCATGGCACTCTGTTAGATTTGCTTAACAAAAATGCATGATTAAGAACATCTTTAGAACAGATAAAAAACATTGACAGATGGCAAGACTTGGAAGTTCTGATTTCCTTCATCAATTCTGCACAACTCTTAAGAGACATGAGAAACTGCTAAGGTTTGTCTTTACTCAAGCCTTATGAATTGTGCATTGGAAAACTTTGAGTTGCACTATTCCGTTGTCTTACACATAGGCATCTTACTGCACCCCTTATCATACCCTGGCTGCCCTGATTCCTATGCTATTTTAAAGACTGGGGATTTAGTCGTGGGAACAGTAAACTGAGCTTTTCAGGAATGACTGTGCCCTCTGCTATTGAAGTGAAAACGTTGTACTTTTAGCCCAAAATTAAGGCTGAGTAGTTAACTCATTTTATGTTGGGTACCTAGTACAATTGAGGTAGGATGACTTGGTATGAGTCCTTTCACATCTTTATCTCTTTGGGCTTTAGAAGAAGCCTTTAGGGCTTACAAAGTAGTCTGAAGTGTTGGTCATCACTTGTGAGCTTGAGAAGGGTACAGAATAGGGTCCACCTGAATAAGTTCTTCAGTGATACCCTTGAAATGACCTAGAAGAATGTTGTAAACTATTCAGATAATCATGACTGCAGTAATCCAACTCAGAGATGCATGAATTTGCATATGTTGTTCAAATTACCATTTGTTGCAGATACATAACATTGGATTTAATAACTAAAAAAAGAATTGTTGATAGTTATGGTGGTTAAAAAATCCAGGTACTCTATACCACGTTTGTGTACCAAGTGTTTGACATATTTTCTGTTTTTTAATACATGTAGTCTATGAATTATGTTCATTCTGATTGTTTCTTTTTGGGTTTTGAATTAATGACAAAGTGTTAATTCAAATACTAGTTGAAATTGTCTTCTCTTTCAAATCAGACTCCTCTACGTGTATTCAATATAATTACACCTGCTGCTTCTTTGAGGAAATATATAATGAGACCTAATGGGCAATTGGCAGTGCTTACAAAAATATTCCAGTTTTTATTGGGATTTTCCATGGAATGTTATTATGACATTAAAGCCATGTAAGATGAAGCTTTGATAATTTTTTACTTTTCAAATTATGGTGAATTCCAATCTAGTATTCAAATCATCTTTGTACTCTTACATGTAAAATGGTAAATTTTAATGCAGATGTTTAGAACAGTATTGAGTGGAGGAATTGAATTCTTTTAAGAATTTCTTTTATAGTCTAAATTACAAGTACTGTACAAAATTGACAAAATAAAAAATTAAAATCAGTATTTTTATTGTAAACTTATCAGTCACTACTTTGCTTGGAATTTTTCTTATGTTTGTTTTTATCATAAATCATTAAAAACCTGAATTGTTTTATTCTTGAGAAATGAATAAAATACAGCATTCTTATCCCCAGAGTCTGTAGTACCTAGAATAGGTTTTCACATAGTTAGGAATGAGTTGTGTTGTAGTCAAACTTCCTTTGTGACAGTTTTGGAAAAAAATCTAAAAATATTACTATTTGAGGATTGAGATTCTCTACTGGGTCCCTTAAAACTTAACAATGGAAGAAATTCAACCAGAATACTTACATTAGAACATAATCACGTATGGTAGGAAGATGAATTAGTTGACCAAGAATTCTTGCCATAAAATGTTTTATGATTTTTTTCCCAAGCCAGTTTTGTTTATTTAAAATATGTTTGAAGGTATGTGGACATTAATTGTAATGCAAACTATTATACAACTGTATTTGTGACTTTATAGGCAGGTAAATTTTGCTATAACTATTGATACAAATAATAAAAATTCACTTATTACTACCACTAGTAACCATTTAATAAAAAAAGGGTCAAAACATTCATCCTTGATATGAAATTTGAACATGTAAATGATGTTAATTAAAATTTTCTGGGTATCTGAAAAATTCTTACTTATTAAACAATATAGGATTTTCATAGAACTATCTGGGATTCTGAAATGTTGAAAATGTTATTTGTTAAGTTATACATATCTTTGAGCCATTTCTTAAATTCTAAGGGGACATGAAAAAATATAAGATTACCAGACTTTTCTAATGAAACATAAAGCCAAGGAAAAAAGCCTCTCTATATTAATAAGAAAACAAAAACAAGAACATGTGGATGAAGTCTTTCCAGGAATGTCCAAATTTGAGAATTTAGTCATCCATCCAAATCTCTAGAGATTTTTATTTTCTCTATTCACAACCAGTTGTATAACAGAAATACTTGATACTGGTTTCCCTCCTATGTGTGAAGTGATGAATCAATCATTTATTATGTGACTTGTTATGTATTCTATTAAACACTAAAGAATAAAACATTCACTCATTTAATTATTCCTTTTGGCTCCTTTGTATGGATTGGCTGGAATACTGGTCTAATTTAATTTAAGGAGGGTTTTTTTTGGGGGGGCGGGGCAGACAGGGTCTCATGATATAGCACTGACTGGCCTAGAACTCACAGAGATCTGCCTGCCTCTGCCTCTGCCTCTGCCTCTGCCTTTTCCTCCTGAATGCTGCTGGGATTAAAGGCATGTACCACCATGCCTGGCAATTTTAAGGAGTTTTTAAATACTGGGACTGCTTTCCACACTGTTGTGGGATTGGTGACTAATTTTCATTAAATCAGCATTGTTTTGTTGTCAAGAATACATAACAGGCAGTTTGACAGTCATTGTTGAAGAAAAGCCCTTCATAAACCTTTTTATTTTATTTTATTTTATTTTATTTTATTTTATTTT